GTATGTTTTTATAAGCATAGTCCATAATTTCGTTTTCGTACAATGCACGATTGGGCAGCTTCGAAATTAGTTTTTTTTTTTTTTTTTATATTGTGAGTAGCTGATTTTCGTTTACTTTACTTTGATACATAATTTGATCCAATCTTATAAGGACGCAGGAATACACCTTTACCAATATTTTGAGATAGTTTTTTTTCTCGTTGCATATCGTTTCTTAATCGTACAATGTTTGCTGTTCCGCTCATTAGCGACCCCAATGCAGATAGTCCAGCAAATATTGGTATTAACGGCAATGCAGATCCTGACTGGGAGGCAACTGGTATCTCTCGAGGTATCCTTTGTTGCTTGTTTTTCTTTTTAACAACTCGTTTCGCCACACCAAATGCAGTCAAGTTGTTATGTTTTGATCCTTTTTGCTTAATACCCATTCCTAATTTACGTTTTACCTTCATGGCGTTTGTTACAACCCAAGCTGCTGCACGCTCTTTAAAATTTGCGTCTTTTGATTTCACTAGTTTCCACGCCTTATTTTCCAATTCCTTATCAGCAATGTGTCTGTCAACTAAAGAACTGCTCTTTGAATACGCTATATCATGTGTGCGGCTTGCTTCATCCAATTGGTTAACACCACGATCACCTCAAGCCAATCGTTTCCTTAGCTTTGTACCAGGTCGGTAAAATTGTACCCAGGAATGTGAAGTTCAATAGGCAAAAGGTCAATTGCTTTGTTTAAAATTCCGGATCCTTGAATTTTTTTCGCAAGCCGTCGACGCTGACGTTGCGGATGTAAAGTGATACTAGCTTGTCGAATCATTACACGATATTTATTCATTCAGTCGTATATAAGTTGTATTTATATGTAAATGTGTGTTGAACAACAATGCAGTTTAACAAACAGTCGGAGACGCTACCTATTGTCAATTATGATGATTACTCTGATAGGTTTGAGTCTAAACATGGAAAACTATTGCCAAACAATATTCGAGCTCTAATATGTGGACCATCCAATTGTGGAAAGACAAATTTAATGTTTGCTCTGTTGACCGACATGAATGGAGTGAAATTTGAAAATGTGTACATTTATTCGAAATCTTTGGAACAATCAAAGTATAAGATTCTCGTGAACATGTTACAGAGTGTCGAAGGTATTCAAGTGTTTACATACAAGGATGGTGAGGATGTACCCCCTGTAGATGATGTGCTACCGAATTCGGTTTTCATATTTGACGATGTAGTAACAGAAAAGCAAAAAACGATTTGCGATTATTTTGCACGAGGACGCCACAAACGTGTAGATGTTTTTTTCTTATCACAAACATTGTCCAAAATCCAAAAACAAAATCTCAGAGACAACGCAAATTTAGTGGTGTTGTTTCGACAAGACATTGTTAATTTGAAACACGCATATAATGAGTATGCATGTTGTGACATGAAGTACAGTGAATTTGTAGATTTTTGCAAAGCATGTTGGAATAGGGAACAGTACGGATTTGCTGTCATATGTCAAGATTTTGACCGTAACAAAGGACATTACAGATTCAAGTTCGATACGTTCGTTACTATATAAAGGGATGCGCGTTAAAACAATCCTGTTAAATTAGCGTTATGCATGAACAGAAAAAGACTATGCTTGTGCGATTAGCGCAAGCCCGAGATAACGTAAAACAAAAGTATATAGCATTACGCAGAGGAGAAGCCGACTCTAAAGCTACTATAGATCGACAACTACAACCAATTATTGAACCATTAAACACAATAGCATCTTTGCAACGTCAACAGACAAACCAAAAAGATATAAAACTTGAATCAGAGTCTGAACAGCTACAACAAGGAGATTTGATTAATGAGTATGTGCAACAGTGGATGACTCATCCTAACAGGGATAAATAATATAGTCCATACATGAAAACCAATGGTTTATATGTGATGGGTAATACAAATAACGTTATATTAAAAGGTGATACATTTCATGTGCGGGATAAACAATTTCCATTAACTCATGGACTTGTGCAATAGCTATTTTCAAAAGACCCGAATGGGTACACTCAGGCTGATATGAACACATACAAACATATTCTAATGGAAACCGGAGCTCATTTAAATAAGGATATGACACTAAAACGTGATGGTCACAAGTATAAAAATATTATCGCATCGTTGTTTCACGTTGGATTCGGTGGAATAGAGTTGACACTTGATCGCAATAGCCGACAAAAAGAATATTTATACTGGAACGATCCAAACGAATTATTGGACAGAGTTCGATTACTTTTGTCCGCACGCACTGCAGGAAACACAGGAGTTTCACCGGAAATCGTATCAATATTTGAAGAACTATTAGAAGCCGGTTACATTGACAAAATGCCCAAATTATGAGGGATAAAATCGCAAAAGAACTACATCGTTCGGCCCGAAGGGTGTACCAACGTCAGCGTATAAACATTAAGGGCAAGGATGACATCTGGCATGTCGATCTTGTCGAAATGGGATCACATCCTGATCGCAAACATCGATATATTCTTACATGTGTGGATGGATTTACAAAGTATGCATGGGCAGTGCCATTAAAGAATAAAACTGCAACAACAGTAACAGATGCAATGGCTCGTATACTAAAAGAGGGTCGACATCCGAAGCTTCTACAAAGTGACCAAGGCAGTGAATTCCACAATAAAAACTTTCATCAATTAATCCGCAAATACGGAATAAATCACTATTCATCTTATTCAAATATGAAAGCATGTCTTGTGGAACGTTTCATTAGAACATTGAAAACTGCAATGTGGAGAGATTTCACAGCCCGAGGATCGTACAAATGGATTGACAGGCTACCATTGTTACTTGAAAGTTACAATAATAAATGGAAACATAGAACAATTGGTATGACACCTTCGCAGGCTGTGCATAACCCTGAATCGGTACACCTAAAATTACGCAAAATATCCGATAATATACTAATCAAATTTCGGGTCGGAGACAGTGTACGCATCAGCAGATATAAATCAATTTTCGACAAAGGTTATTTACCAAATTGGACCACTGAACTCTTTAAAGTAACACGAATAGCGTATACAGTGCCACCAACTTATTATTTGGAAGACTACGAGGGAAATCCTATATCGGGAAAGTTTTATACCGAAGAGCTCAGCAATACTCAGTATCCAGACACTTATTTAGTTGAACGGGTACTGCGAAAACGAGGAGACTTGTGTTACGTAAAATGGCTTGGGTTCAATGCAAAAAACAACAGTTGGATACCGAAAACGAGTATCTTACCTCCATGATAGTGGATATACAAGGTCTAGTGTCTGAAGATCGATCGTTTTTGGTGAAGAAGCTTTCTGTCATATCCTTGGACACTACTTCACTCAGTCATTGGGTATTTAAACACCCCACCAATGTCAAAGATGATCGAAAAACATGTAATTGGCTGAAAAAGTACTATCATGGAATGGATACTTCGATTGGTGATGTCGAATATAGTGAATTACCGAGAATTATGTCACTATTGAGATGTGAAGTTATCTACGTCAAGGGTGTCATCAAAAAACGTGTACTGGAAAAGTTTTTGCCGGGGCAGCATGTGATTAACATGGAAGATCTTGACTGTCCACCATTGTATAATTTACGATTACGATGGAGCCCCTGTTGCATTCGACGCATGAACAATTACAAAATGTGTAGTTTATATAAGGTATTGTGTTTGAAAAACTGGTTAACTCAAAATTCATAATTTTATTGTATTTTATTTTACATTTTATTTTATAAAAATTATAAACTAGTTGTTTTTGTAAAAACATTACATAACATTATTGTTAAAACACATAAAATTTGAAAAAAATAAAATATACTTTTATTTATAATTTAGTTATTTGTTCTTAATGAATAATGTCCCCAAGCCTTAGTGTATACATTGGGATATTCTTCGTCTCCTCAAACAAAAGCGCGTTTATCAAAATTCGTGACGCCTGTAAAAGCAATTTTATTGGTTTCAATTGTTTGAACTTTATGATTATTTGATCTGATAACCATCATCTTTTTCTTTTCCGATAGCGAGTCCTTTAAACATTTCAAGTAGTTGTCCATGTTTATTTATTTACGCACCACACCCGATGTTATTCCCTTTAGTCGCTTGACCTCCTCCAGTGCAAACATTGCATTGTAACTTACCATGCATCCATTTTTTACGACGGAAAGGCATGAGTTTTCGGTAACAATGCAACAATCTCGTATATATGGAGACCGCCAACTTCATCAGTGAAACTACCTGGTACTTTTTTACGTTCGTATGTGTAACACATATGGTCTTTAGGATAATTGGAAGTGTCGAGATACTTGAGCAGATGTTGCTTTAGATCGTTTTGGAAGTTTTCAGTTTGAATTACATATATAAAACTGTCAGTGTCCATGTATATTAACGACAACTTGTCTCCGTATAGTGGTAGCATAACTCCGTAATGGAAGTTGTACATAATCCATTTGCTCACATCTAATACGGTCTTCCCTATGTATATTGGTTTAAAGAAGTTGATTTTTTCTTTAAACATATGCACTGCAACCAATTTGTCGTTAAATACAGTAGTGGTATCGAAATTGGGCTTTGCAACAAGTTTCATCAGTTTTTTCTCACAGCTTACCAATTTTATATTTTGATGTCGACGGACATTTTCTAACGTTTTACCTAAAAATACACATATTTATTAGTTTTAATTAAATAATTCGAAAAACCCGATACACTTACCATAACACGAGTTGATCATATCTTTCGACAAATTTTGTTCAAACACGTTTGTAGCTTTTTTTCTCAATTCAATATTCATATCAATGTACGGTTTCAACCACATCGACTGTTTGAACTCGATGGCTCTGNGGTTTCAACCACCTCGACTGTTTGAACTCGATGGCTCTGTACATTTTTTTCACCGTAAGCCCATATTTCACAGCTTGTCGCAATGCCCGATAGTGAACGATGTATTTTGACTTTGAATTCAAAGTAGTCATTAATTTAGGATATTTAGAAGATGGGGGACAATCATTGACTGGCAAGAAAGGTAAATCGTTATGAGTATCATGGATGTAGTCTGGGTAATCTACATCAACCTCCACAATGTATCCGAATTAATTATCGTCTGGTACAGTCAAGATATCCTCTATAGGTTTATCAATCCATTTAAATCCTCCATATGGCATGGGTTCCATCATTGCTGTAATAAAAGATACAAATAAAAAAATATAAATTTTGATTTGTTATATCGATTGTATAGATTATATACTGACCTGTGCCGTATAAGCTCGTAGCATCTAAGTATTGTATAAACTTTTTCGGTTGGGTCGAATCGTAGTCCGGAACATCTGGATGATTAGCACGACAATGCCTCTGCATGACTTGAGTAAGTCCACCACGAATTCCAAGCTCAAACATTAACAGCATGTCATAATCAGTTAGTAGTTCTAGCTCTATCTCTGTATATTTCAACATGGCATCAAATGATAGTCCAGGACATGAGTAGTAGTGTGCAGGATCCAGTTTATAATTTATTAAGCATTGCCTACGGAATCTTTGAAATACATCGGTGAGTATCATGCAATCAATTTTCAAATAAACGTCGCTGTAGTCACCCAAGGTTGTACATTGAAATTTTTTCCATACATTTTCTGCATGAGCATAATATTCTTCTGTTATCGATGAGTTTGTCAAAGAGCTATAAAACTTATCGATTGCTGGTAGTACCGTTTCATCCAATTTGCTCTGGCAGTCAACGTATTCGTAGGGAAACACTGATTTTCATGTTACCAAATCCAGCGAGCCAAAGACTTTATTTGTTTCGATGAAATCTTCTGGAGATAAAGTGTCACTCAACTTAGCTAGACTAGCAGCTAAAAATCTGTACGAGTCTATAAACCGAAGTTGAAATTGATTAGTTATTTTTTTGCTGAACGATATGTATTTTTCAGAACTCTGTGGTATAATACTAATATCTTCCTAAATAAATTCGATAATCCGTGGAATACAATTGGTAGGAACGTTGGATATCGTAGCTGTAAATTGCATTTATTGCAATGTACAGCTCTAAACATACCAGTCCAGTGATTATGGTCCCTGACTTTTTTACAGATTTCATTGAATGGTTGATTACACGACTCGCACCTCACAGCTGATTCAAAACGTTGCATATTTTCTGCGCTAAGAATTTCCATTTTAATGTTGACTTTCATTAATTCTGATATTTTTCTACCGATATTCACCAATGATGATACAAAATGTTTCGCAGCATTAGGTCCACGGAACAAAACGGGTTTGGTTGGAATCTCTGCGCATATATTCCGAGGCAATTTACTTTCATCAGCTATGACAACTCAACACGGACTAAAACGACGGACTCAACAGTCGCATCCTGGTGGCGGTGCACATGGTGGATCCGCAACGGTTCCCCCGGATGTTCAACAATTGCATGAGAGTAGGGAAGTTCCCTGAACGTTGGAAAAAAGCTAGACTCGTACTACTCAAAAAGGGGAACAAACCACCGGAAGATCCTTCATCGTACCGCCCGTTGTGTCTCCTGAACGACGTTGGGAAACTGCTGGAATTCCTCATGGCGAGCAGATTAGAGGAGATCGTATTGCAACAAGGGAACCTTTCAGACACGCAGTTCGGGTTCCGGCGTGGCCGCTCGACCGATGACGCCGTCATGCGCCTTTGCGATACCGTCCGAGAGGCGGTCGATGATGCTCACGGATACAGGGCTTGCGTAGCTGTAAGCTTAGACATCAAAAATGCCTTTAATTCGCTAGGGTGGAGGCATATCATGTCGGCATTGGAACACTGGGAGGTTCCGGTTCAGTTGCAGCGGATGTTTCGTTCCTATTTCTCAGAGCGAGTAGCAGAATTGTTGTGTCCGCAACTGGAAGAAGAACTGTCAATTCAGGTGACGTGTGGGGTGCCGCAAGGTTCAGTAGTAGGGCCGCTCTTATGGAATATCACATACGACAGCGTGCTAAGAAGACCTATTCCAGAAGGCACTTCATTGTTAGGGTTTGCGGATGATACCCTGGTGGTGGCGACAGGAGCATCAGTTGCGGAAGTGGAGAGAAGGGTAGCCGCAGCTCTATCGTTGGTAGCTGATGAGATCGGTGGACTGGGTCTGTCCCTAGCCGCAAATAAGACGGAGGCGGTATCGTTTAGACGGAACTATAAAGACCCCACGCCGCGAGTATTGCTAATGGGATCCGAAATTTTAGTAACGGACACGTTGAACTATCTGGGTATTTTAATTGACAAGAATCTAATGTTTAAGCAACACATAAAGGAAGCGGCAGCCAAGGGGATGAGGCTGGCGAACGCCCTTGGTAGACTGATGCCAAACATCGGGGGCCCAAAAGAGGCGCGAAGGAAGTTGTTGTCAAGTGTTGTTCATTCCGTGCTGTTGTATGGAGCCCCGGTCTGGGCCGGTGCGCTCCGATATGTAAAGGCCAGCGTCGACGCGTTAGCAGGAGTGCAACGCAGAACACTTATACGTAACGTGTGTGCGTATAGTTCTATTAGCCGCACGGCGGTAAACGTATCAGCAGCCGTGCCTCCTATTGAATTGCTGGCGGTGGAAAGGCAGAGGGCATACCGCAGGCGCCGTGAGAGCGGACCGTTAGATCGCCACTGGAAGTTAGCGTTGAGGCAGGATACGCTACAGGCATGGGAAGCCAAGCTAGCTACGTCAGAAACTGGAGAATGGACTCGCTCGTTAATCTCGGATTTTCGCAGGTGGGTGACAAGGCGCCACGGACTAATGGACTTCCACCTTACCCAGGTGCTGTCGGGCCATGGTTGCTTTGGAGTGTATCTTGCTAAGATTAAGAGGAGGCAAGACAACATCTGCTTTGTCTGTCTGGAGGAGGCTGACAGTGTGGAGCACACATTATTGCGTTGCCCAGCATGGGAAAACGATAGAAGAATGCTTGTTGCAGAGGTGGGACCTATCGATGGAGTGTTGCTTGTCGATAAGATGTTGGAGTCCAGGGATGTATGGAATACGATTCAGAGATTTGTCAATGCTATCATGGGCAGGAAGGAAGACATTGAACGGACTTTGGAACGATATGGTGCTGGTGGGCGTCGGTATCTGTGATACGGCCTTCCATAGAAATTACACAAGGACGTCGGGATCTGAGATCCGGTCTGGGAAGGGGTGAGTGTCAGTCGGAGTCGTTGATGGAGAAGCTGGGGTTGTTGGTATATGGCCGCTGTTGTTGTGTATATTGTAAATAATAGTAGTTAAAATGCAATGTTACTGTATAATTAAATTGGTGTTATAAGTTTAGTGATAAGTTAGATATTCGGTATGTTGTAAGTAAATGTATTGTATAGTATATATCAGTTATATTGTTTGTAATAATCATATTTAGAATCAAACCATGTATTAAGTTATAAGTGTATCTGTAATGTTAAAATTTTCTTGAATAAACGGCACCGGGTGGCCCGGGGGAAGTAATGCTTAACGGCGAGTTCCCCCCGGGTCATCTATGGGTGCACATGATTGAAAAAAAAAAAAAAAAAAAAAAAAGGTCCACGGAACAAAATTGGTTTGGTTGGAATCTCTGCGCATATATTCCGAGGCAATTTACTTTCATCAGCTATGACAACAAAACAATAGCTCATTGTTTCATGTTCATGTTTGACATATGAATTGCAAGTCATTTTGTTATTGGCTGGCTTTAGAGTGCATTCAAAATCAGCGTATATAATGAGTGGAACAGGTTCTTGTCGTCGAATGTTTCTGAATTTCAATATGGCTTGGTCACTATTGGGATGCGGCAATACAGCTTTGGTAGCCTTAAATTTGCTACAGTTCTCCAAGTGTTTGGCAAGTCCATCATTACCCCAAGGTTGTGTTAGTAGTTTTCTATTAGTAAAGACTTTTAAACATCGTTTACAGTAGAGTTCTTGAAAATGTGACTCACACCTTTGTCTACCCACAAGTCGAGAAAAATTAGATATATAACAATAATGACTGTTGTTGTGTTCGGTCAAATAAAGTAAATCAATGTGATCGTTTTTGCATCTGCTTTTAGTTAGTTGCAGAGGGTAAACGTTATTTTTTTCATCTAAAGCAAATACATTTACAGAAATGTTGGATTATTTTTTTCAAATTTCCAAACTTGATTTAAAGGTGTAGGATAGTCAATACCGTTAAAGTTAAAATTAATATTTTTCTCTAGTTGTACATACCTATCAGACCATCTCTCCTTGTGTACACCAGACATAAATTTCGAAAGAATAGCCCATTTAAAGCATTTATTATCTTTATTTACAACATTTATAACTGCTTTTTTAAGTTCAATGCATTTTGGAAATTTGATATGTGATGAAGCGTGTATAGGATTGTGCCTGTGTATGCGCACGGCAATATTATAAATGAAAACTAGGGTCAAACCACTACCTTTCATTTCCATTTCCTGGCGTTCAGTCTCTAGCTTTTGGTAAACTTTTTGTAACTTTGAAACTATATCAGTACAACTATCCACCTTTTTACTTGTCGATTTAAAAGATGCTATTTTAGTATCGCCCCTAACTGGATGAATGTATAAACATTCAACCACTAAATTAAATATAATTAAACCATTTATGCTTTTTTCTTTAATTTTTTCAACTAATTCATCATTAATGTAGGCGAAAAATTCCATTAAATTATATATGTCTGTATCGTTATCCCGTTTAAAAGTCTTTACTTTACCCAAGAAAATTGTGTAATCAAGAAGAAATCTATTATTACCAGAGTGATCAATTCCAGAGCCACAAAGTTTTTCAATGATACACGTAGAGTCTTCATACTTTCGTTTACATGAATGTCCAGATAAATTTATCCATGGTGAAACTGATGTCAACTGAATATCTGGACCTCCATGCTTTGATTTAAATAAGAAAACATCGTTATTTTTGCGATTAAGTTTCTGTTTCAATGAATCCATTTTTCTTTTATATACGAAAATTTTAAACAAATACGATCATTTAAAATCACATTATACTCGATCAATAGAAAAAACACAACTGACTAGCTGAAACGTTTAGATACTACACAACTCGATGTGTATCATTTTGTTAACTTCATGTTTGATTTTATTGGGTCAAACGGACTCCACCTATAGATGTATTGTCGAGTAATAATGAAATAATTTGATTCGTTTGAATCTGTAAATAAATACTCCTTCTCATAATAATATATCACCTGGTTACGTTCAATAAGTATAGCCAAAAACACATTGATACATTCTCCCTTTTATGCAATAAATTCTAAAACGATACGATGTAATGCGAAAAACCACAATAGTAACAATATAAACGCTAATGATGACAATATTGTTATTTTATTGGTTACGATACATCTAATAAATACTAACGCAAAATCACAACATAATTGTCCCCTATTAATAAATAATAACAATAAAAGAATTTTTATTGAGCAACCCTCACGCTCTTTCCCTCATTCATTGGCGCATCCTTTAGAAACAGTGAGCGTAACGGACAGCTGCTTTTGCTACAATAGTATTTATGAATTTTTATAACACTCCACACAATTATTGGTTATATTCATTAAATCACAATTACTAAATCGACATGTTTAGACACGTACATCGACACGAAACAATATTAATAAAAACGATCACACAAATAATCTCACCCTTATACGAGTTGGTTGTCAAATCTATCCGTGCCATGGAATATCGTCCTGAATCCGTACAGCTGCTTGTGTTACAATAGTATTTTCTGTGTCTCGTGCTAAACTAATCACTCTTGTTATGCACCATTTACAATCGATGATATACCATCAATGAAAATTAGTAAATAACACAATAATT